CGCTGGCCACTTCCCCGCCCCCCGAGCGTCAACGGTCCGAGCTCTCCGAGGCCTCCAGGCCCGCGGAGCGGAGCGACGCGCAACCCGCCTGCAGGGCACAGCGTGTCGCCAGGGCCGCCGCCGCGACGCGCTGAGCAAGCGTTCCCCGCCGTGGCCTGCCCAGCCCTCCTCCTGCACAAGCCAGTAGAATCAAGGCGGGCCTGTCCCTCTACAGGGGGAATATTCAAACATAGGAAACAATAGGTTGGGGACGATTCTCTGACAATGTTTGAATATGTTCGGGTTTTTTTTCGCCCAAAATCCCCCTGTAGGGGGGCAGGCCCGACCTAACAGTAGAACTCGGCCACCCGTAAGAGCGACCCCTCCGCTGGAGTGGCCTCCGGAGCGCGGCCTGCGGGGCTTGCGGGGGGGGGGCACGCCCAAGCACGCATAGGCCGCCGTCGTCGCATGCCGCATGCAGCGATAGGCCGGCTGCGCACCACAGGTCGCTGTTGCCCAGGGTTAAGTCTTGCGTGTAGCCTTGTGGAGGACGATCAATGGCGAGGAAGCATGTTGCCAAACAGTTCCCAGATGTCCAAAACATGTATTTACATGTACTGTCTTAAACATGCAAAACACGTGTTTAAATCATGTTTAGAACATGTTTCCTATATCTTAAACACACTTTAAACTCAAGGATAGGACTGTTAGGGTGTCCAGTGTCGTGGCATCCACAAGTGTAGCCGACAAGCCCACATCTGCTCCACCACCGCCAGGGCCGCCCTCGTTCCGAGCTCCGCTCGCACGCAGGGGGGGGGGGGGGGCGCACGGCTGGCCACCCACGCGAACAGCAGCACGCAACTTCGCGATCGGCGAGCGTTCAAAGAAGTTGGGCTCTGTTTGGGAAGTGCTGGAGCTTTTTTTTGCCCCCTACCATTATGTGGTGCTGGGTCCTCGTTTTGAAAGACAGCGCCTCGCGTTTCCCGCCTCCCACCCTCCTCCCATCTCTGCTTCTGCCTTCCGAAGCACAACATGTCGGCACACCCTTCACACGTTCCGTGGCCCCATAGTACGGAGCTCCACCGAAGGCCCCAGTGCCAGCGCCCGCATGGCACCGCTGCGCCCGAATCGGCACACCCCTCACGCGCTTCGTGGCCCCACTGGGAGCTCCACCGAAGTCGCCAGTGGCAGTGCCCGAAGGCTCCACCACGCCCAGTTCGGCACACCCCTCACGCGCTTCGAGGCCCCACTGGGAGCTCCACCGACGGCCCCAGTGGCAGTGCCCAAATGGCACCACCACGCCCGGTCCGGCACACCCCTCACGCGCTTCGTGGCCCCGTTGGGGGCTCCACCGACGACAACAATTACAACTGCGGTACTCAGAACTGCATATGGTTGGGTCCTTCGCCAGAGTAGTCGTGCCTCTCCTGGCGCCTTGGGGTTTTCGTTTGGGCCGGATGGCGTCCCTTGGGGATGACTGGGGGCCGTTTGGGCGTCTCTTGGAGCCTCCTGGGTCATCATTGGGGCCTCTTGGGCCCTCTCGGGGCCATCTTGGGCCGTCCTGGCGGTGTCTTGAAGACATCTTGAGCCGTCTTGAGGCCCTCTTGGACCCCTAGGAAGCCCAAGAGGCCAGCATCAGTGATTTTCCTGGAGAGTTTGTGTTGTTGTTTTGTGACGTATGTAGAGAGAGCCGAATGGGTCGATGGCTCGGCGGGGGCCCTGGGGGGGATTACGGGGGCTTGCTTTGCAAAGGATACTAAGACAGGTCTCGCAATTAGGCTTCTCGACGCGTCGTGACTTGGCCCTTTGCGCCACACACCCGTCCTATCGGACTGCCGAGATGCTGCGCTGCAGTCCGGTCGTGTATCATTCATTGGTTTACGCCGCACTGCCAGCTTCTTGGGAGCCCTGTATGCCTCTCTTCTGGGGGGCGTTGTCGTAGAACAGGCGTGGCGCCGCACGTACATTTGGGAAGCGCAACGCCGTGCTCCCCCTTTCTTGTTTTCGAAGTCCTGCGCGTTTTTTGTTTGAGAAATTTGGCCCTGGTCGATGTCTTCCGGAGGTGCGTTTGCCCAAGGGCTTCTTATGCAAGGGGGGCTCATTCTGAGGGTGGGCCTTCCCTGTCTAGGCGGAGCGAGCAAGGGGGTGGGGACAGGGGGCATGGGGGTGTGGCGGCCGTCTGAGAAGACAGGGGGCCTCTTAGAGACACTCCCGCCTTCCAAAAGGCCTTGTTAGGAAGCTTCCGAGTCCTTCAAGAGGCGCCCCGCCTTCTGCGACGGCGAGCCCCTGGCCCCTTTCCACTGCGCGCGCCGCAGATCCTCTTCTTCTAGTCTTATGTCGGGCCTCTACAGGAGGAATGCTCAAAAGTAGTCAAACAAATATGGGGACTATGTTTGACTACTTTTGAGCATGTTTGGGGTATTTGTTTGGGGTGTGTTTTCGCCCAGATTCCTCTTGTATGTGGGACGCACCCTGCTTAATCCTAGTCCCCTCTTTGCCCTCGGCGCATCGGCCCCGGCAGGAGCTGCAGATCCAGGTGCGGCTGCGGCGGCCCATGCTCCTCTTCGCGTCCGAGTCGCTCGCGCGCTGCTGGACGCTGCTCGCCGCCATGCCGCGCCTGGGCCTGGACATCAGGCGTCGGCAGGGTTCGTCCTGCCGTCGCCCTCCTCCTCCTCGTCCTCCTCCTCCTCCTCCTCCTCGTCCCCCTCCTCCTCTCTCCTCCCCCCTCTCCTCTCCCCCTCCTCCCCTTCTCCTCCTCCTCCTCTCATCTGCTCCTTCTCCTCTCTCCTCCTCCTCCTCTTCTCATCATTCTCTCCTCTCCCATTCTCCTCTCCTGCTCCTCTGCTCCTCCTCCTCCTCCCTCCTCTCCTCCTCCTCTGCTCCTCCTCCTCTTCCTGCTCCTCCTCTTCCTCCTCCTCCTCTTCCTCCTCCTCCTCCTCAACAAATGGAAGAAGAGCGTGCCACAGTGCGGGGCTCCCGTGAGAGGCGGCGGTCTGGCGCATGCTGACGCTGAGGTTTTGGCCAGGGATCGAGGATCGAGGATTTAGGTTGTGCGTCCTTTTTCGGACCTGTGGAGGCTTCTGGATACATCCAGGGCGGGATTTGGGGGTGAAGGCGTCGGTCGGGGGAGTCCCGGCGCCCGCGTGGGGCCAATGGTGCACGTCTTTCTCCTCCCCCCTCTCTCCATCCCTTCCTCTCTCCTTTCCCTCTCTCCCTCCCTCTCTCCTCCCTGTCCTCTTTCCCCTCCTCCTCCTCCTCCTCCTCCTCCTCCTCCTCCTCCTCCTCCTCCTCCTCCTCCTCCTCCTCCTCTTGCTCTCTCCCCTGGCCTCCGTCCTCGTCCTCCTCTGCCCTTTAGGGGGGGGAGGAGGGCCCGGGCGAGGCAGCTCGCGGCCCTGCACGTGCTGGTCGTGCAGGCCGGGCCGGAGGAGTGCTTCTGCCCGCAGGCCCTTTCGGGGGGCGGGGGGGTGGCTGCGCCCGCCCAGCAGTGTCTCCCAGATCCTCACCACCCACCAAACGACCCCAACCCAACCCGAAGGCTCAAATTTACCTTCGATTTCCAGTGTGGGGGGGTCGGGAAACATCGAAAAAACACATGTGGAACCCTTACCCCCCCAACCCGAAATTCGGGTCTTCGGGTTGTGTTGGGGTGGTCTGATAATCCCGTCTCTCGAAGACGAAAAAGCAGCATAGACATAAACCTTTGGCGCTCTGCGCAGATTTCTTGGATCTGCGCTGGACCCCCGTCCCAGCAGTGTCTCCCAGACCCCGTCTCGCGAAGACGAACAAACGGCATAAACATACACACTGTTCCTTTCTGATTCTTCGAGAGTTCTTTCATTTTTTTGGGGGGGCCAGGATCCCTTCATTTCTGATTGTTCTGTCCTGGGCCTCTTCCAGCCCACTCGGGGGCCAGGAACAGCTAGAAGCGAGCAGAATTAGAAACGAGCACGATTAGAAATGAACGACGTGTAAGGTTTTTGCGCTCTGCGCAGATCTCTTGGACCTGCGCTGGGCCCCCCTCCCTGGCGCGCGGAGCGCGCCAGGGGCGGCGCCGGACCTCCCAATCCCCAGACCTCGGGGACGGACGAAGGGACGAGAGGGATGCGCCAGGGGACCCGCCAGCACACGACGAGCAGAGTGGAGGACCAGGGGCGAGGGGAAGGTAGGATTATGTCGGGCGTGTCCCCCTACAGGGGGACTCTCGACGAAAAATAGAAAATATTCAAAAAATGCACCAAAAAGGTAAACAAATAGTCCAAAAATAGTCCCCAGGCTACTTTTGGATTCTGTTTTTATTATTTTTGGGGTATTTTTCATTTTTCGTCGAAAATCCCCCTGTAGGGGGACACGCCCGACTTAAAGGTAGGATGGGGCGACGGGCGGGGGACAGGGAATAAGGGAGGAGGGGCTAGAGAGGAGCGAGAAGGAAGGAAGGGATGTAAGAGGAAGCGCGGTGCGAGTCGAAAACTGACGACGAGCGCTTCAGAGCGAGCTTCTCGGTCATGCTGAAAGCCTTTGGCCATCTATCGGACTCGATCCGACCTGAATGCTCGCTTCGATTCCCGTTTGGGGGTCCAAAGACTGCATTGGTTCAGGTTCCTGTCCATATTACATGCGTAACAACCACAGCTCGCACAGAATGACAGTCTCGAACCACGGTGCAGACGCATTCGATGATTAATTATGGACCCACCCACCCCGCTATTTAACGCCTCCTAGGTAATTATACCCCCCCAGGTAACGCCTCGAAACGACCATCGAGGCTTCTAGGGAGAGAACACATGCTGTCGAACCACTCTCTCCGATTGGCTAGTGAGGCTGAGCTACGACAGACTCTGCACCTTCTGCCACAATCCTCGAGGGCATGATTGCTGGCAGAGAAGCGCACACTGAACGGGTCGGGGGCAGCAGGAGTTGGAGGTGACTTCAACTCCTTTTTCCTCGGGCCCTACAGCTTGGCTAGCTCCATCTCGGCGTCCATGGCGTTGATGGCGGCTCTGACCAGCCTGAGCCTGACCTGATAGGCCTCCGCCTCGACCCGCCTGATACGGTACCTGTCCAACTCCGGCACTCTTGCGGCTTGCGCCGCGATGCCAGCCAGAACTTCGGCTGCGGTGTTTTCCTCAACGATGCGACACGGCGCACGACCCGCAGCAGCATCGTCCGCCGTGAGGTCCGAGTACGTCCACAACACCGAGTGCGATCGCGATCACCGAGTGCGACTCTGATGCGGCACAATATGTCGGCGTCCTCCTCTGTCAGCTTCCTCCACCTGAACTGGTACCAGCCGTCTGCGACCATGCGATTGTCGGTGACAGAATACAAGGGCTCCCCCGAGGGCGCGAAGTTATTCGCGCTTCGCGCTTCGCGGTCCTCGTTTCTCCTCCCCCTCCTCCTCGTCCTCCTTTTCTCCCTTTGGGGGGGCGGCGCGAGAGCGCGAAGTTATTCGCGCTTCGCGCTTCGCGCAGCGCGAAGCGCGAACTTAGGAGCCCTTAATACGTGATCCCTTTCGAGCACACAATGGCGACCAGCATGGCGTGCAGCTCACCCCTCGGCACGCTCCGACGCGCACCCCGGGAGGCTGCCCGTGTCGTTGGCTTCCAAGAAGAATGGCCCGCAGGGCTTCACCTGCGCTATTGCAGCACCGACTCTCCTGTCACGAGCATCTGCCGAATCGGGGCCGCCGTTGGCACCAGCAGACCTAATGGCCTGGTGGTCGCTCCCAGGCCAAGGGACAAGCGGTGCAGATCTGCCAATCTTCTCACTCCGCTGTTTTGCCGGCACCTCCGTCCCTCTCGAAGGTCTGATCTATTCGCAGCCAGCAGCTTTCCTCACTCTCATGTCTAGCGTACGCCTGTTCCACCCGGTCTGCGAGCGGTCACGTGCGGGAGACCCCACGTTCTTGCCACATCTCCACCTCCGATGAAGCATACACGCATCCCCCTGACATTTTGGACATTTGTCAGGCTGCAAGCCTGACTTGGTTCCAGGCACTGCCGACCTCCTGACTCTCGGCCAGCTCCCACCTGTGGCCACGAGACTGAGGACCTTAGCCATGCGGCCGCCGTGGGGCCTGCTCGAAAATGGATGATACAGCTTGCGATGAGAAAGCGTATCTGCACCGTGCTCCAGACCTGCTCCACACAATTGTTGTGGGTCCTCGGACCATCACCGATCACTGGTCCAAGACTGCAAATCCTTAGCCAACCCTTTGGGTGCATCAGCGTCGAGGTAGCCTGTCCAAGCCGCGTCTGGAAACTGCCACTCGATGCTATATCTCCATGGGCTGAGGGCGGCATCGCCCAGCAGGTGGCCGCATTGAAACCCCATCCGTTGTCGAGCAGCAGTGCCACCATCGCTGACAGAGGGTCTGGAAGGTGACGAGAATGCCAGGGTGGAGCACCGCTTCTCATGTGTTGAAATATGAGGGGAACATAAAGTGACAGAAACATAACAACTCGGAGGTCCGCGCAGATTTCTCGGATCGGCGCGAGGCCCCCCCCCGGCGGCGCCTCCGGCGCCGCCCCTGGCGCGCTCCTCGCGCCAGGGAGGGGGGTCCAGCGCCGATCCGAGAAATCCGCGCGGACCTCCGAGTTTTTATGCTGATGTTATTTTTGTTCCCCTAAATATCGCTGGTCATGCGCTGAAGCACCTTCTCTCAACCAAGGCTCCTGCTGCTACACTCTGAACCACATCCTGATGCACTCATTAGGCATGCTGAGCGCGGGGTCGCTCGGCGCCTTGAGGGCAATGAGGGATGTCGAACACCGCCCGCGTGCGAATGACCCGCAGGCAGCTCCAAGTCTGCGCCTGTAAGCCGTGAGGTAGGACCCAAAGCCGCCGTGGATCTGGAACGCGTAGGGTCCTACCGCTCTGGCTCGAAGCCTTTCCAGCATGGCCGTGATGTTGAACTTCCTTTCGCTCGATGTGCACTTTCGAATATTGCCGTGCATCTTGGCGTGCTTCTCAAATCTCGCTCTCCTTCTTGATCTGGCATGCCCTCGTCGGCTGTCCAGGTCCGTGCCGAGATACTGACCAGCACGCTGCGCGCGAAGTGAGAAGTCTGCTCTACGAAGTGCCTTCGATACACCCTCAGCAGCCTCACGAACAGAACACACACCCGCACACACGCACACCCACACACACGCACACACACACACACGCACACACACACGCACACGCGCACACACACACACACACACGCACACGCACACGCACACGCACACGCACACGCACACGCACACGCACACGCACACGCACACGCACACGCACACGCACACGCACACGCACACGCACACGCACACGCACACGCACACGCACACGCACACGCACACGCACACGCACACGCACACGCACACGCACACGCACACGCACACGCACACGCACACGCACACGCACACGCACACGCACACGCACACGCACACGCACACGCACACGCACACGCACACGCACACGCACACGCTCACGCACACGCACACGCACACGCACACGCACACGCACACGCACACGCACACGCACACGCACAAGCACACGCACACGCACACGCACACGCACACGCACACGCACACGCACACGCACACGCACAGCACACGCACACGCACACGCACACCGCACTCACACTACCACGAACACGCACACGCACACACGACACACCACGCACCGCACACGCATCACGCACTACGCACACGCACACGCACCACGGCACATGGCATGGCACACGCACACACCGCACACGCACACGCACACGCAAAGCACACGCACACGCCAACACGCACACGCAAAGCACACGCAAACGCACACGCACACTCCAACACGCACACGCACACGCACACGCCCACGCACACGCAACACGCACACATACGCCAAACGCACACGCACACGCACACCGCGCACGCGCAGCGCACGCGCACGCGCACGCGCACGCGCACAGACGCACGCGCACTGCGCCAGCGCACGCGCACACGGCACACGCCACGCACCCGCCACGCAACGCACCGCCCACACGCAACACGCACACGCACACGCACACGCACACGCACACGCACACGCACACGCAACACGCCACGCACACGCACAGCACACGCACACGCACACGCACACGCACACCAACCGCCACACGCACACGCACACGCACATACGCACACGCACACCCAACAACACCCGCACCCGCTACGCTGACACGCGCACCGGCACGCGCTACGCGCACGCGCAAGCGCACGCACCGCAACCACGCAGCCACGCGCAACGCGCAACCCGCGCACGCGCACGCGCACGCGCACGCGCACGCGGCAACGAGCACGGCGACCCGCGCACGCGCACGCGCACGCGCACGCGCACGCCCACGCGCCACTGCGCACACGCGCCACGCACACGCACACGCACACGCACACGCTACACGACACGCACCACGCACACACTGCACACAACACACACACGCACACCC